CCTGTAGTGTATAAGGTATTTTTTCCTCCTTGTCTTCGTGGTGTAACTGGAAACAAGTTCAACTAGCAGTCAAAGGTCGGGAATGCGAAGGGTATTGCACATTTTTCGCTTCTTCTGCAACGAAATAAAATAATTTGAGTCTTTACAAGTATATCCTAATATGTTAATCCTATCACAAAAATAGGAAGAGTACCGCTTGCATGAATTAGGTTTATTAATATTATAATTACGTTTTACGGTGCTGTTCATTTTCTGTGATTAAATGTACAATTGCACCTGTTACCAATACTTTTTTATCACTTTCCAAACCAGATGCTGCAAATATATGAACGCTTAACAGACTTGCTGAACATTGCCGCGTTTTCAATGGATATAAACATGCCACAATGTGGAAGGCTTTATATACATTAAAATACATCGCGATTCCGTTATCACACGTAGCATGTTCACACGTGATGTTGCAACCATTTCTCTTTTAAGTTTGACTAATAATCAAAATTTATGTTGATACTTTATACCTGATTTTGTCACGTACTCGCTCAATGCAATGGTTTATGCAAGCGTCATAATCGTAAGTGGTATGATTTGCAATAGAAACCTGGCTATTGCTGCCAATGTCTGCTTGCTGATACTGATCATCAATTAAACATGAGCGACTGACACTCAGCATGCGTTTATAAGTATTTAGTTGTCCGACTCATTTGGCATTGCAGCTTCAAGTAGAATCACTGGCGTGAGAGCCAGTTAATATATTGTAACCTGCCACGCCAGCCAATATCTGCAGTCAAGGAGACTCAAATTTTGTGTTGTGTTGTAATTTTTTGTGTTGTAAATTTTGTGTAAGATTCCTAAGTGTTTTAATCTATAGCTAAAGCTGAGGAACCTTAAGAACTGATAAGCGAATAATCGCTTGAGTTCGTGAGACAGAGAACAAACGTGAGAAGGGTTGAATTAGCCTTTATCATTCCAAATAAAGTTTAACAGATGACTCCTTTCTTGGAGTTACAATAAAGCCTCCACTCGGGCTTGAACTTAGGAAACTAAGAACTAAAACTTGACTAATCTTAACTAAAAAGATATAGCCGAAGCTATCAAGATTTTAACAGAGTTGGCCCCTTAATACTAAATAATGCCGAAGCTATCAAGGGCTTAAAGTACGGTCGAGCGTAATAATAGCTTAGAAGAGAGAGTCGCCTAAAAAGGCGAACGCGGGCTAGTCAGAATCTAGGGCTCTCTAAGGAAGTCAGTAGAACTTCACAGTTAAATACTTCTCCTCATTTGCATTCAAACTCGATTCTGAAACTACGTTCTGGCCGGAAGCTGTAAGTTGAAATTCAGGAATAATCAACTAGCAGTCAAATAATATAATGATTTTTTTCTAATCTGAAGGCAATATGTTCGCTCATTTTTAAAAGCATTTAAAACTAATATTGATTACATTATTAAAAAGTTTTAACTAAAGATTAACTGTTAGAAAAATTAACACAAACCTTACAATATTATTCAAGTTAACTAATAATGTTTCTATAGGTTAAGAAAATAGCGATAACACGTCATCACAAAAAAATGCAATGTTTGAGAGCGAGAATGGTTGATATAAGTAGTTAATGAGGTAGTAAGCGACTCCGTAACAGTTATAGTGTGTAGGCATGATATGTTCATGTGCGTGTGTGTAACATGCTTGGACATTTTATGTTACTAGCTGCTTAAAATAGTTATTATCAAAAGGAAAATATATATATATAAGGGTTTTAATAAATCCAGCTAATGTAATGTTACATATCCTGCAAGTAAATAATCATAATTTAATTGAATCTGCGTTTATATTTTTTACATCGCTTTATGTGTTAGTTAATAATAGACAAAATTTGGAAGAAAAATTAGATAGCTTACACGTTCCTAAACGATAAAACACTGCCAGATGAGAGATAAAAATATTTTGATTCGGGAAGTGGCAACACTTTTTTTTTTAAATCGTTTAATTTATTGATTAAATTCGGGACACAAGAATATTGAGAGTGGCAATATGTTTTCTTTTTATCGCCTAGTTTTCTGATTAAATTTGAAGCATAAATTTCTTACGCTTTGCCGAGTAGCAACAAAAAGCAGCTATACCACTGAGTTTTAAATTTAATTCTCACAAAATATGAAATAAATGAGAAATAAATTCAGGCTTCGACGTACACAGGTTCGGGAGGACGATTAGGTGCATTCAAAATTTGGTGGCTGTAAATGCCATTGGAGCATCACAATATGATTAAAGGTTAGGTTAATTGATTAACACAAAGCAACTCGAGGGCTACGGGGAGGGACGCCTTTGTGGAGGCCGTTTTTGAGAAAACTGGCTCGTGTCTATATTACACTTGGAGAAAATCATGAAAAACAACCACGGAGCCATTCCGTTCGCCGGGATTCGATCCCAGGTCGAACTCTGTGTGTGCAAGATGTATGTATCATGTATGTTTAACATTGATGTTCTCTGTTAGACCGAAACAATATGTGTATACTACGTGTTCATCATGTGCCTTGCGTCTGCTTTCTTATCACAGTTTTTTATGCCCATCAAAGTATTCAAGGTTGTAAAAGTGGTTTTGTTGGCAATTATTTTACAGAAACTTCGAGAAACACTAGCTTTCCGCTTTCGAAACATGTAAAAACTCGAAAATTTATTATATTATCTACTTTTAAATAAGGGAGTGTATATGTTCATACGGAAATTTTTCAGTAATTATTGTGTTTATATTCTTCAGTTTATTGTGTATCTTGTGATAATATCGCTTTAAGCTATTTCTTTTATTTTCGTTTTTTTTTCGCGCTTCTTTCAGAAGTTTTCCGAGATTTTGTGTAATGTAGGTGAAAAGAAAAAGTAATTTAACTAGAGAAGTAATACATACGATGAATTTTATCGAACGATCAGTATATCTCCTATCATCAAATGTATAAAGAATAGAGTCTGTTTGTTTTGTGTAATTCATATGAATCTACAGTGTTATTCCGAACCTGATGAAATTTTACCCGCTTGAACTTCAGAACAAGAAGAGGATCACAGTTTACATAAGATTTCGAAAAACACTCCATAACGTCAACACTTTTTATATGTATAGATTTGTACGTAATGAACTTTTGAATGAAATCTCAGTGATTTAAAACCTTTGTTGTCACTCTGCAAAATGCGAAAAATTTAGATTTCAAATTTAATCAGAAAACTCACAAGAAGAAGAAGTACGTTGTCACTCGGTGAAACGCAATATATTTGCCTTTCTTGAATATGTTTTTCTAAAAACGCAATATATACATTTTTTTTTTGTGTGTATGTAGTTCATACAAATCAACAGTTTTATCCTGATATTGATGAAATTTTGCGGACTTTCAAAACAAGAGGAAAGTCACTGTCTGCACAAGATTTCGAAAACACCTTTCTATGGTGTCCGCACTCACGGCATTTCTATTAGTACGGTGAGTTCACGACATCCATATGAGGTTCACGTCTTTGTTTGCGTTCCCGCTAAGAGTTCTTCAGATAGCGCCCCATTAGTTTACACTTTAGAACAATCTAGAACCTTTAAAAATCGAATTAACCCACTCTCTATCAGGGTTTCGCGAATATTTCGAAAACGATGAAGGAATTGGCCAAAGTGGATGTTGATTTCCCCCAAAAATACATAACCAATAACAAAGCAACTACTTGATATTTCGAAAAAACTACCTCCATTATCTTAAATGAAGATTCTTCATTCCTCGTAAAATCTGAGCAACGCTGGGTACTTCAGCCAGTTCTTTAATAAAAACAGAAGCAAATTAAAATGAAACAACTCAGATTTTAGCTAATATCAGTACTGCCAGTATATACTGAAAAATAGAATAACATACCATAAACTATAAATACAGCTGAGAAGGTCTCAAGGAAAATTAAACAGATTTCATATTCCATATTTCATTGTTAAATAATAAGATGCTTTGAATATTTTATCTTCATTTCAGATCTTTTCGGAGTATAATTAAAAGTAATTTTAATGTTAAAGAAATTGTACAGTGAGCTGCAGTACGGGGTACGGCTCATTGTAGATTTCCTGTTGCATCTAAAATCTACAAGTGGTGGACTGGAACGATTCATTAAATTAGCGTCATCAAAAGAGGATTGTTAACAGTTTATGAAAGCTATTAAATATTTTTATGAAATTGCACTAACAGGACTCATTAAAATTATCGTACTTTACCATAATAACTATTTTAGGAAGCTAGTTTATAAAATACAAAGAATAAGAAAAAAAGTGAACTGCAATAATTCGAAATCATTTAAAATTTTAATTTTTTCAGCAGGCAAAATTTACAAAACTTAGCCTAACGAAATTATACAATAATTTTCTGTAGTGCATTTCTGTACATCTGGAATGATCGATTCATGTTGGAATTTGCATTGTTAATGAAATGAATTATTGCGTATTTGAAGTAGTTTTTAAGATCTAATAATTTTTAAAGGTATGTAACCTTAAACAGCATTGCAATGACTTCGGTATTTTTGATAAAAAAGATATATGTGGCGAACCCCGGCTTTGGCCCGCGTGTTCCTGGGTGTTTTTATCATGTTATCTATGAGCAGAGATGGGAAGTGCGACGCTGCGAGGTCCGAGTGTCCTTGAAGGTGGCAAATGACCTTGGAAATCAAACATCAGTCTACTTTGTAGCAGTCAAGTATTATACCAGATCTGCAAAAGTGCGCCTATTGCGATTGCCTCGAAATTGCGATTGTGGAAGCGATCGCATAGAATGAACTTTGCAACGGTGGTGGGGCACTTAACTGCTACGTAATAGACCTACCTTCAGTTATCAAAGTCATTTACTACCTTCAAAGACACGGAATCCTCGTAGTGCCACACTCCCCGTCTGTGCTAAGAGATTACGAACTGCCAAAACAAGCAGCAAGCGAACTAACACCCGAGACCTACACACATATATATTTTCAACTACGTAAAATTATGAAAATAGAATAACATTCTTACCTAACATCCTAACAACCATTCTTCTGGATCGGGCCTTGGAGCGTTCCCTTTCAGCCCGGCACTGAGCGCTCTCCGATGTGGAACGGTGAAGATTCCGTGATTGGTGGAGTGCCAGAGCGATCCTCACATAGAGTGCAGTGATCAGCGAGATTGGAGCCACGAAGAAGAGGAAAGTGGAACACAACATTAATGTTTCCCAACTGCGATCAGGATCATTGAAAGGAAATCCACACCAGGCGGATTCCTCAATGATGACTCCTCCTTTCGTTTTAACGTAGTTTACACGAGTGAACACAGCGTAAGGAAGGGCGCTTGCTCCCGAGAACACCCAAATGATGCCAATATTGCGGATAGCACGTGATAGTTTTGATTTGGTTTGCTGGCGAATCGGGTGGCATATTGCTATGTATCGTTCCGTACTGAATGTCACGATGGTGAGGATCGATGCGTAGGCTGTTGCTTCAGGTACCACACCACGCAACCAACACATGAAGGTGCCAAGCTTCCAAGGATACTGCTGCCAGAGGGTAAACAACTCCAGAGGCATAGCTGGAAATGAAAAAAATTAAACATCAATACTGGATATAAAAATGCAACGTATAGTTGTTCCATGCACAAATTTCTACAGCTTGAAAACATCAATACTGGATATAAAAATGCAACGTATAGTTGTTCCATGCACAAATTTCTACAGCTTGAGCAACTTCAAATTGCAATAAACACGCGATATAACTGAAGTAAAATTTGCATGCCAATAGAAAAATATTAAACATAAATTATTGCCTTTGTTCAACGTTAATATCGTTGATTATATACCTGATTTTAGTCATTGCACTCCAACGGTAACGACGGTAGAGTACTTGTTGGAAGTGTGTCAAGGAAGTTCAGTTCCTATTTTAGAAAGAAAGGTTTCTAAAATTTCCATTTCTTGTGCGTTTTAGTTGTCTATATCCTATGCAGTATTTAAAAAACGAGAGACTGAAGCAAGATTTTAACAAAACAATAAGTAAATAAATAAACCGATGCGTCTTTGTCAAAACAGACTACTTTTATCTGCAAATGATATTTTTTTACCATGCGCAGAAGCATCGCGGAGTTCAGCTTAACGTGGATAGACAGTATAAATAATTTGCATATATCACCTTCTCTTTTATTTAAAGTAATTGTTTCGAATGTTTTGAGCTATTTCAGTGGTCACAGAAGTAAAGTGAGCTGACAACTCGTAGCTCACTGGTAATTTTTCTGATATTAATTCTATTTTACTTTAAAGTGAATTGATAAAAATGTAAAACAAAAAAAAATTCTTTACCAAAATTTTAATATGTATAGTTAATTTATATAAAGTGCTCCGGTAATTATGAATCGTCTTCGAACGAAAAAACTATTCAAATAAGCAGAATGATATTACAAAAATACTGAAAGAAGAACACACTAAGTTATTATTTTTCATTCTGAATATTAACTGACATTTAAAATTCACTTTCATGCCTTTCTTTAGAACTATAAATTTTCATGACATTTTTTAGAGCTTTGACTTCCGATAAAACGGTGCGTTCACATTAGTTGAACATATATCTCGGTTAGCTGAATCTCTAAGTATCCACCCACATTTCAAAATTAATTAAAAGTGTTCTTTTAGATGGCTTACGCTAAGAGTATTCTTTCTCACGAACTGTGTGAAACTGTTTAGAACATGATACATCTCGCTTTAATGGGTTCACTGAATTCTCTACTAAAAAGACAAAAACGAAAATGATGTTTATACGACAATCAGTTTGAAGGTTTGAGATACTGTTCAATAGTAGAATCTAAATTTAATTAACTTGTTAACAGCTACTTCTTGTAAAATTGCATTAAAAATAAGATTTCGTTATTTGTCCCAAGTAAATTGTTTGTTTCTTAATTTGACATTACCATAACATGAATATCTTCGCCATTTAAAACACTTCTGTTGTTGGAAATATATGACTACTATCAATGATTGAGTAAAGCCGGATAAGGAGGTGAGTGTATATATATTTCCATTTCAACCTTTTTCATTTTCAATTTTTTCATGATTTAAATTGAAGTTTCTTAATTTTTTTTTTCAAAATTCAATTTTCAGTGCTTCAAGTTACGTCATTCTACTAGACACTTCTATTAACCTTATCTAGGGAAAATAATATAATCAATAATCCATTGGTAAATAAATTATTATTCTATTACTTCGGAGCTTTTGTGCTAGTATTAGGAAATTTATTTCGATTTATTAATGTATTTAATTTAATTCAATCTTATATATAGTGCGTGTGTTTTATTGTGCGTGTGGTGAATTATTTTGTTGTAGATTAACTTGATATTAGACGACAGCTTGACTAGGAAATGGACCAATTCACTTTTTTATTCATGACTGAAAAACTGCTACGTAGGTGATTGGGAACAGCTGTCTAGTGGATGATCGAACGATATTTTGGAAGAAGCATGACCAGCTTGGTAGTTAAACAAAATTTATTTCTGTATGACGAATTTCTTAGCACATATCTTCCTAAATGATAGAAGAGGGGGGCTAAATGTGCCTCTTAATTTTAGATACTCAATTACATCTTATATAATGGAGAAGAGCTAGCAGAGGCTAAGTGATACGTTGTCAGAAGGAAAGCGAAGTGGCGAAAGAGGATGCGTAGTTAGTTGAGGTACTATTTATATGCTTAAAGTCTTTGTTTCAATCCTGAGCGGCGGCTGTGCAAAAGATTTCGTATTGCAGTTACTGCAGGTAATGCGTGATGTAATACGGTGGAATATGAAGCCTTGAAGAGGGGATGTATGCAATTAAATTTAAGAATTTATAGCAGCGTTCCAATTCAGTTTAATCTGGTAATAAATTTTTCTTCATATTTTTATATCTTACATATCCCCTCCCCTTCAAGGTCAAAAAGCCTTTTGAGAAGAAAGCGTTAGTGTGTTAGCAAAGGAAAAGAAATTTTGCAGAATATTTTAAAATTCAATGAGAAAACAAATGAATGCCTTCAAGAAGTAATTTAGGAATATTAGAGCAAAATAACATTCTGTAAATTAAATTTAGGATCCAAATTTGAAAGTGTTTGAGGAAATGTAGCTTGAAGGTAGATAGCATAATAAATTTTATAATTTTTCGAAAGTTATTCCCCAAAACTAAGTATTATAATTAATATAAAATCAAAATATTTCAATTATATATCCATGAAATTCTAGTAAAATTAGTATTTATTTACACATTCTAAAACAAAATCACATGCTTTTATTGTAGAGCAATGTAATAATTAATATACAGACACTAAGAAAACACAATAATTAAATAAAATTTGATGAAAAAAATGGCACGTCCTCTACAAGCGAATCAGTGTTAACTACTTTCTGATGGTTGTGGGATGCTTAAATATAACTGATATAAAAGCTCCGTTCTTTATACAAGAAACTAGTTTTAACACAGTATTAAAAATACGTTAAAATTTTAGAATAGCAATTAGAAATAAACAAATTTGTAAGGTGTATTTTCATTTTATAACAGTTCTTTTTATTTCTGAATCCCTTTTCCAAGTACAGTTCCCTACCAGAATGAGTTTCTAGAATCGCGTTGAATGTAAATGAGTTAGAAGTATTTAAGGGAAGTTCAACTTACTTCGAGAGAGAGAGTGCTTAGGAGTCTTAGTGGCACGTGTTTACATTCTGGCTACTTCCTTCTTGAAATTATTACCCTCGGCCGTATTGTACGTGCCTAATGAGAATCGCCGGCTAGGTTAATTTAAGTGCCAACTACGTTAGGTATTTGTGTCTAGTTTTGGTAAAGGCTACTTTAGTTTAGTATTAGATTAGTTTCTTACTTGCTTATCCTGATTTAAAAGCTCGAGTGGAGGCTTTCCTGTAAGCCCGAGAAGGGGCCATCTTTTATTATATCTCTGAGTGAATAAAAGGCTATTTTAACCGTTCTCAAGTCTCTGCGGTAACTATTTGAACTCAATGATAATTTCCTACTTAGTTCACAAGGATCCTCGACATTAACCCTAGACAAAGTATTGAGAAACATTATAAATTATTTGAAACATAATTGAGATTGGGGAAAGTAGAAGGAAAAATATTTATCTAGAAAATACTTCAAGTATAATTTTAAATCCTATACCAGTGAAAATCAACATTATTAATTTATTCGCATAAGAGCTGAAGGAAGCAAATATGCAGTTCGATTACTTTCCAAGCACTTTTGAACTTACTTAAATTACTTTAATTTTTAAATATTACGCGTGATTACTTTTGTAAGCACCGATGAAACAGCAGAGAAGAACGACGAAAGGTACTTTTTTCCCCTTTTCACTTCTAAATATTGAAGAAGTAGCCAAATTAAATTCCAAATCGATCCAGCAATGAACCATCGTAGCAATTTTACATTGCATTTCACTAGACGCTAGAACTTGCGGACTTGCAGATTTTTTTACCCCATTGGCCACTTTACTTTGGAAACATCGAAGAGATGAGCCACCGTTACCTCCTATGAAGGACTACAGCGATGCCTTCTCCGGGATTCGAACCCGGGCCCTTCGGTATCGCAGTAGGCTTCCCTGTCCACTATACCGCCGGACAGGCACATTTATTTGAATTTTGTAGGTACTTTATCGCAATCCAGTTGAGGTTAAGGATAGTATCCAACTCTCTATGATGATGCAGTTTTGCAGGGAAGATGAAACGAATTCACTTATAGTCACAACTATAAGTGATACTTATAGTCACAACTATAAGAGATAACTTTCTAGTTGCAGTTGTAATGGGCTGGCAATGGTAGCGTAACTGTTAACTCGGATATGTTGACTGGGAAGATGGAATGATGGACTTCCAGAACGTAGCCGAATTCAACATGATTTTACTGTTGGATAAAGCAATTCTGGAGACACAATACCCTTTTCACGCATGATTACGGGTACAATAGGCAAGCCACTATTTTGTACACGCAGTTACTCTTTAGAACAATAGACACTAATACGCGCAGAGACAGGCGTTATTCAAGAGAGACCAAACAGCAAAAGATTGATACTTAATAACTGCAATAGCATTAATAAGCTCGAAAAATCTTTGTTTTAATCCCGTGCAGCGACAGGACAAAGTTTTTCAGAGTGCTGAGAAATTGCAGTAAAGGCTGATGTAACATGCTGCAGAGTGACGCAAAACGTTATCCTTAAAGAAGGCGATGTGTTTAATTAAAAATTATTAATTGTAAAGTCTATTGAAATTAATCCAAAGTAATTTTGTTTCATATTTTATATTTTAAATACACACACGCACACACACACACACACACACATATATATGTATACTTTTGATACTGCGGATTGCAAAATAAAAGGGAGGTACACAACTACATGTTATAGTAGTCCCATATACAAAAAATCAACGTTCTACAGTTATTGCGTTTTAATTACCCGAGATACATACATACGTTCTTACGTAGAGGTGTCACGAAAATCTATTTTGAATTAATTTTAAATTTATTTTACAGTGCGTCCTGGGAAAAAGAGTCAACGCAAAACAAAACCAAAAAATACAGTCAAAATGAATTCGGATACAGTTCAAATGGATATATTTTCCTTGAAATATGATACCCAATATTTTTCGGATTACACTACTTCCTTTACTTCGCGCAAGGAATTTACCAATGCCGATAACTGTGTTGGTGGAGATATTGAATTATCATTACATAACGGAATTACCATTATATAACGGAATCATATCATTATATAATGGAATCATATCATTATATAATGGAATCATATCATTATATAACGGAATGTACTCTAATGAAATTTATATTAAATTTTCTGCAGCTAATGTTATTTCTTAGGCCTACCAGCGTCGTAGCAGTAAAAGCTACTGAATACTGGTAGTTCGGTCCGGGTTTCCAGTCCCGGTTAACCGGCTAATGGGTTGGCTGCATGGGCACTTTCGGAGGTTTCCCATTTGTAAGGTGGATATGAGCCAATTCCCTTATAAATTCCTCCATGAGGCATCGCTTCCTTTCCATGTAGTGCCAAATGCAGAGCACGTAATAAATAAATAACGTGATTTCTTTCAGATGATTTCTTAGCAAGCAAAAACACCTTGTTCTTAAAATTTGCAAAATTATGAATCTACTTTGTACATTAGGAAAAGGTATTTGCCATCCCGCTATATGTATGAATATAATAATAGCTTATTTACTTCTTTAAAAAGTTCACAATTTTATTTATAAAACTTACCCACAGTAAGTTTGTTTTAGGAGCATAAGTTGTAAATGCTTAATGAAGCCAATAGGATTTTTTATAAAATTGATTTTATGAATGTCTAATCGAACTTTTTGAGCTCCATGAACCGTGGGCTCTATAAACTTTATTTTTAATGCAATTGCATTTTAAGTTTTTTTATTCCTCTTTCATGCAAATATTGCTGCTTGCATACGGGTTCTCAATAGACTGAATGCACACAGATCCGATGATAGGTTGATAAAATTTTTATCAAAGGAATCATTTCCGAGTTCTGGAATGTTCCACAGAAATACTCAAACAGGTTTTCACAGTATCAAAGAGTACAATCAGTAGTTACACTTCAAACTACCACGAAAATTAAACACAATGCAATGCAAAGCATCTAAAGTGAAAGCTAACGCTGAGATATCTCAGCACTCCGAAGTAGGACTTGAACTAACAACTCTTCACAACAGCAACTGAGAGCAGATGCTCTTTCCGGCCTTATATAGTTTTCGCCTGGCTACCGAGATATTTTTTATACTTTCTGCTTCTCGAAGCAATATGGGGGTCGAATTAAGGTTACAGCTAATATAGTGATCAATTACATTTATTCAATTACAATACCAATTACTAAGGAACTATAGTACAATTGACTTTGACAGTCGGGTAATGAGGTAACAAGAAAGTTTAAGCAATTGGAATATTTTGGAACTTTACAAAATCTTTTTCCCCCCGAAAAATCACGCAAATGGCAGACTTGTTATTGTTGTAATTAATTTCACTTGTTTGACTTAAGAGAAAACTGACGAATTTTATCAAGGAGAGAAAGACTGCGTCTGTTTGTTGGCATGAGTATAAGCTCCATATAAGTACGACTTGTCAGGTTAAGGCCCATCGGTGCAGCAGTCAGCGTCCGAATTATATGATTTGGGCGACGACAGACTTGTAAAATAAACTTCAGGGACCGGACCCAAATGTGTCCAAATGGTCGCCAAGTGGGCTAACTTTGGAGATTTCTCACAAAATTTGACGACAAAAATTAGTCGGCACAACCGTTTCCAATTTTGTGATATCTCGCCAAATTACCGAGACATTTACTCAATGTTAATTGGACTTGCGCCTCGTATTCTATTCGCCTCGTATTCTATTGTGTATACTTTTCTGGCACAGTTTGTCTCTCTAGATTTTTTTTTGTTACGTTATACAGAGAAGTACAACAATTTCTTATATAACTGCACTCAAATCATTTATCTATGTACAATATTCGTAACGATACGCTCCAAAATTTACACTTTTAGATTACGTGTTATAACATGAAAAATTAAACATTAATTTTAAGCCAGTTTTGAAATTAACAACCTCCAAATTCTACATTAATTTTGCAAGAACAATTATTTTGCAGAATGACATAATCGTCAGTAACATAGCAAAACTAAAAATTAGCAGTTTTTGCTGTTTTCTTTTACATGTATATATAGGTTTGTGAATTTTAAATGTAAATGACTTGCAGACGGAAGGTAAATAAATAAAGATGAGTCAGAAATAAAAGTAACAAAATTAGCTTTTGCTGAAATGGCAACAAAAAATGATATAGTTCAACTGTTCCGGCTGCGACCATGAACACAAACGCTCATGTGCCATTCGGACCGATTTATTGACGAAATGAGGTGGATAAAATACGAATCATATTAATAAGATTTTTTTCCATTATTACGTTTTTCCTGTTGATTTTCACTGCTTTAAAAAGAACATAAGGTGACAAAAGTTTTTTTTAAGTAATCTAAAATAATATGTTGATCATCATTTGTAATTCACTGTTATGAATTGATTTTAATTTTGTGCAATTACATATTTATTTATATAATGTTTCAAACATAAAACCTATTTTATATCAAATTTTGAAACATGTGTGTTCGAAAATTTGACATTAAACATGTTTATGTTGTTTGAAACAGCATATATTGAAAATTTGACATAAATATGAAACAATTATTTTGCAGTCCTACAAAAATAATTGTTTCGTATTTATGTCACTATTATTCGTATTTATTTCACCAAGAAAAATCACTTGGTAATTTTTCTTGATGACATTGTTATCCCACAAAACTGCTGCTATCAAAGACTAGATAACGGTATATACCGTCTCATTACAAACAAAATATATTTTTTGCTTTTCGCTGCGAATTTTCTTAGATCAACTATGATATCGACTTTTGCTTCGATTAATTAATTATCGATAGACGTAGACATTTTTTTCTAAAGAGAAACAACAATAATAAATAAGAATTATTTTATCTTTCCTTTCCGCTTTCTATATTTCCTAATAAGAAATCGGGGCCCGGAAGTTAATTCAGCTATTGGGTTGAAAACAGCGCACACGGAGCCTGAGGGAAACTTGAGAATAAATTTGCTGATGGCTGACGCATCACGAAATGAGAAAATCGAAATCTCCAGAGCGCCAGGAGTCAAGTCACGTCGGACTTTTCTGCAATCGAATAAATGGTTTCGGGATAAATCTTCGCCTACGAAATCGGACTTCTGGATTTAATAATTCAATATACAATAAAAGCATAAATTTTCTGCCATTAGTTGCATCTTTGTTTAACACAATCTAAAAACTGTATGAAAAAGAAAAAATGTCATAGGTTATACTGGTAAACTTTAAGGAACTATAGTACAATTGACTTTGACAATCAGGTAATGAGGTAACAAGAAAGTTTAAGCAATTGGAATATTTTGGAACTTTACAAAATCTTCCCCCCCCCCGAAAAATCACGCAAATGGCAGACTTGTTATTGTTGTAATTAATTTCACTTGTTTGACTTAAGAGAAAACTGACGAATTTTACCAAGGAGAGCAAGACTGCGTCTGTTTGTTGGAATGAGTATAAGCTCCATATAAATACGACTTTGTCAGGTCAAGGCCCATCGGTGCAGCAGTCAGCGTCCAAATTATATGATTTGGGCGACGACAGACTTGTAAAATCAATCTCATTAAATATGATTTGAAACTTATAAGTAAGAGAGTCATAACAGCGTGATAATAAGACTTTCCTCTTGATTTTTCCCTAAGCCCAGTAAGTCATCGGTAAGCCAGATTAGACTTTTATAGAAAAGGATATACACTTTGCCCTAAAAGTTTAGAAACTTAAGTAAATTACATGTTTAAGAAGAATAGGAACGTATAAAATTATCCAATTAAAATAAGTTTATTTAAAACACATGTGCCTTGCGTCTGAGTAAATATCTAACAAAACATCGCTTTGTCTTTTCGAAAAAATAAAAATAGAAAAAAAAAATGTGTTTACCAAAAGTTTGTAGACTAATGTAATTTTATGCAGATTGGTTAGTAACAATCATGATAAGGAACTTAAGCCTTTTCTATGATAATGACCTCATTCAAATCTCCAATTTTAAAAGAAAAAGATCATTCGAAATGCGTTTAAGTAAGTCTAAAGCTACGGAAATTTCTGATGCTGAAGTTCATAGGAATTCTGAACTTTAAACTACACGATAAGTCTATTAAAGAAATCTTAAACATTCTGAATCCATCTGTAAGCATGATTTAGCGTGTAATGTTTTGTAAGACGTATAATGTCTTGTCAGCTAAAATAACGTTCAGGAGGATTCCCAAAAAATGGAGAGTCGCAGCGATAGACGATCGCAAAGGATGGTTTCGACATAGAAAAAGTCAGTTTGCCAAATAAGGGCTTGGTGGATTGCAAATATCCAAAAAGGACTGTTCATAGTTGAATTACGAATTTGGTTATACGATCCGCTTAAAAATGGCTCTATCATTACCGCTCCCAATGCTTGATAAATGAATAAGATTGCAATGGGCCTGCAATCACATGGCGTATGGTGACAAATGGATCTCTGTAATTTTCAGTAATAAAAAATGGAATCCAGATGGTCCTAGCGAGTATTCATATCACTGGCATGTCTTACGAAAAGAGCTTCGGAGATATTACAGTAGGAATTATGGAAGTGGATCTGTTATAGTGTGGGCAATTTTCGATTTCAACGGACGAGTGGGTTTCCCCTTTTTAGATGGTCAGCAAGATTTGTCTAAATACACAGAAACCATAAAAGATCATCTTAACCATTTGCAGAAAACAGTGGAGGGCAGATTTGGATGTCCAGTATGACAATACTCCCATTTATACCTCTAATGCCAGTAATATGGACAATTAAGTTACAAATTACTTAGACATGGAATCACTTACACTTGTATTGAGAGTACAAGTCACTGTTCGTATTGAGAGTGCATGGTACAATGTGAAACCAGAGTTACTACAAAACATAGTTCGCTCGATGGAGAAATGTGTATTCGATATCATACGGAATAATGGGGCGATGTTGAAATAATAAGTAATTTGAAACTGATCACAAGTTGTTAATATTCTATAAACGTTTGGGACACATATTCTTCTGTTTTTTTTTTCTGAAATACAAACTGCTATTTTAGTTGAATATTTATTGGATTGCAAGTCACATATGATGCAAATAAATATATTTTTAATTGGTGTTTGTGTTTCTTTCCGTTTTCCTACAACATTTAATATACTTAAGTTTATAAACTTGTGGGTCAGAGTGAAGTTTATAGGATGCTATTGTATCTAGAAGCTTGCGTCCTTCAGACCATAAAAGATTGATAGATAATTATGGATTAGTCTGAAACAAATCACAGAATGTGAAAAAGGTTAAAATAACTTTTTTTTTTTAAATTTAAGTCTAAAATTAACAGAAAGGCTCAGCTTGTGAGACGGACCTCCACAGCTTGCC